TAATAGTAATATTGTGTACACTAACAATGTAATGCACTGGAGGATAATGTTATGTAACAAACTATTAATAATAATAATGATTTATAGTTAATAATATCTTAACATACTTCATTGTTATTCCACCATATTGTAATACTATCAGTTGATATCTGATCCCAACTAATATTAACAACTTGAGCTGGTACTATAAGAAATACAATGAGTGTGTGTGTGTATAGTACTTACCATTCCATATATACTGTATTAATGATGAAGGAGGACCTTCTCTTCCAATAGTATCAATAGGAATAATAATAAATGAATAATTAGTACCAATAATAAGAGAAGGAATAGTTGCTGATGATTCATTACTGATCATATGTCCATTAATATTATCATCACTGATTATTGTAATATTATAATATTGAATACAGTGTACTTCATCATTCTTTTCATAGTACCAGTTCATCAATACTGTATTGTTATTAATTGGTATTATCTTTATATTAATAACTGATACTGGTACACCTATACATAGATACGGTATTATGATACATTATGGTTCATGATGTATCTTACCTGAAATGTGTACTGTTAAAGTGTTACTGTAACTAACTAAATCTCCAGAGCAGTTAATAGCACTTCCATGATGATGTAATGGATCAGACTTACTGCTAGCAGTACTTATTATTGTTGATGTAGCATTAGTAGGATTATTAATCTTAGTTATTCTAATCATAAAGCCATTCACATTGCATCTAACTGTGACATAATTGTTTAGGACACGGTTTAAACCATTAATATTCCATGCAACACGTAGCTGCATTCCTCCTTGATAGCTAGTAATACAAGTGAATACTAGTGTATCTCCAGGACATACAATATCATATGATGGAGAGGACTGGCTGAATGATAGCACTGTACCTGATGATACTAATAATAGTCAATGATAATAATAACTGATAAGTTATAATGAAACTTACTACAGGCACTGCTTGACAACAGAATAAGGAATATGATAATCATTTTCAAATACCAGCAACACACACACTTGTGACCTGTGACATACACCTCCAGCTCCTTTGTTGCATACTCAAGTTCCAACATAGGTTCCAAACTTGCAATCATTG